AATGACTAAAGGCCTGAATATACTCCCAAACATATGCTCACACAGACAGCTGCAGACACCACAGTATGTCATTAGTCCGCAAGGTTAAACCAAACTGATGGTACACAGATATCCACGAATGACTGAACCAAATTACGTGTCAACACATCTTGTAGTAGTCGAGATAATTCAATCTGGACCAAAGTGGTGGACTGACTGACAGTTTGCCACACCTGGAGCCATGCATCTAGCAACCCCAGTGAGACATGGTGGAGCCTGTACCCGTGTATGTGTGTGTGTGTGTGTGTGTGTGTGTGTGTGTGTGTGTGTGTGTGTGTGTGTGTGTGTGTGTGTGTGTGTGATGTGTGAGTGTGTGTGAGCATAAAGGCAGTAGAGAGACTCAGTCAGAGGTTGAGTAACCACTAGAAGTGTCATGTTCACTCAGAAGTGTGAGAGTAAATACTCAGTTCATAGGGGCTTTATTGGCATGGGATACACACGTTGACATTGCCAAAGCAAGTGCAAAATAAAAAAAGTACATAAACAGAATAAATATATGTATATACACTGATAAGTAAAACATAAAAAAATATATAAATATAAATCTGTGAGAACTATATACACGTATACATTTATTTGTGTAAATGTTAATAAATGTAAATAAATGTATTTAAAGATATTTGTTCTGTACATTGACATGTAAACCGATGGATGACATAACATCTCATCTGTGGTGACAGACTGCAGTATAGGTCATAAAGCCTGCTACTTAAATGTTAACACATAGGACAAACTAAAAAAATCACGTCAAATAAATTTTTCCCAAAGATGGTTTCTGTCTCTTGAAGTATTTCTTATCATGCTGATGTATGTTCATTAATTTCGTTAATTTATAATATTTTTAATTTATAATACGTTTGGTTTTAATGACTTATTTGAAGCTATAAAAAGAGGAGGTTCATGTCATGATTGACAGGTGAGTCCTAAAGAGGATGAGACTTGGGTGAGACTTTGATAACCATGATCACTACTGTGCAGACTCTGTGATGTCACCAGCACAAGATGGTATCCAGGATATTTTGGCTTCATTCATCTTTTATACGTAGAATGTGTCTATGTACAAAGATCAGCACAGTGCAGTGGTCTGTGCAGGTGTATTCAATTTTCAATTCTTTTTTTTATTTGTACAGCGGATACTGAACGTCTTCATCGTGATCGTATTCCATTTGACGCCTTTCTCTGGTAACAACCTCTCACACACCTTGCTGCCGTATTTGCACATGGCTGTATTTCACCCAGCAGATATAGAAGTTTTGTTCTGAGAGCCAGGTCTGCCTGTGGCGGCCTCTCTCCACAGCTGGGCTGAGCACTCACTGAGTCTGTACATGGTCACAAATTTCCTTAGGTTGCTCTCCCTGTGAATATCTCCCTCTTTCACTCACACACAGACACACAGACACACGCAGTACTCCATCAGCACTCCATCATTCCTCTGGCATATAGTGTTTGACCTTTCATTAGTCAGCCTGCACACTCTGAATTCAACATGAGTCTGTTTACATTCTGCCCAACATGGCAGGGTCGTCTGGCGCCCAGACCATGACACACAGAGTCACAACAATAAAATTCAGCATGGAAAGCAACAGTCATATGAATCTATAATGTAATAATGAGGATAGAGATTTTCATTAGTTTCATATTACAAAACCAGTCGAGGTGAATGTGATGATTTCAGAGAGGAGCAAGGAGGTTATAGCAGTATAAACCACAGGTAATTATACAGGGTAGACAATGCCTGTATGTGTGTGTATCATGGCATAGAAAATGTTAATGAGCTGGTCTCCATTCATCTGGAAAACAAAGTGTTAAAGGGGACACAGAGAGAAAAAGAGCAAGGAGGCGAGAGAGGCTGAAGCCTATGCTTGTTATTCGATCTCTGGCTGCCGCTTTCTTCGGACTATGTACAGGTTAGGGGAGGATCAACAGCTCTACTTTCTTTCAATCTTCTGTTTGTTATTTTTCCTGGCCTAGTAATAAAATATATTAGTTAAAAAAACTCATCTAAGACAAGTTAGAGGGGGTACAGAGCTCAAAAAGAGTTAAATGTGCACATTGTGAAATGTATAGTGCGCAACTTACACAATGTAAAAACATATGCATGTACTGAGTGTGTGAATGTGTGAATGTGTGAGGACAAAATAGTGAAACCATTACAAACACATCACAGGCGACTTAAGTTCAATTCAGGCCACTGGTGTTTGACGTGTCTTTTTCATAGCAAACTTTTTGACGTGTCAAAGGACAGCTGTAATTATTAACATTCATTGGTGTGTTTATTTCCTGCAATACCAACTCAATATGTCTGGCATATTAACACCATTGACCAATTGGCCTTTTTCACAACAAAGTTTATTTATCTGGATTTACTTTGTCTGCTACCTGCAAGCAAAACCACTGATTGACTAGTAAGAACTAGTGCAAGCAAATGGTTTCTTTTGTTAAAGCTGCACTTGAACACACCAAAAAGCAGCTTTTGTCTATGAGGAAATCAGCCAGTCCACTTACAAAGACCGATTACTGTCAACGTATAAGCTGACGACAAAGGTCAGCCACAGACACTTCACAACAGCCGAACTGTGCCTGACAGCCTGCTCTCAGCTTGGTGTATAATTGTTGTGTGTTTATTTTGGCAGTGGAGTGGAAACAACAGGTTGTCATTCATTTATATTGTAATAACTGAATATTGGTTGAGGAAGTAGGACTCAAATGGAGACAGAGGAAACATTCAAATTCATTTGTCACATGTACCCTTGCCAAAGGAGGTCTTAGGCAGTGACCTCCTTTTGGATCATAGTGGCCTGAGGGTAGAAGTGCTTCCGCTCACTCAAAACTGGTGGAAACACGGACTAGTAGTGATGGGTCGGTCGCGAACGATCCGGCTCTAAGAGCCGGCTCTTTGAAGTGAACGACGAGAGGGATCTGTTTTTTTTACATTTTTTTCCCCTGTTTTTTCTGTTAAAGCTGCGTGATTGGTCAAGATGTGTGGTGGCGTCTGTGTATCTACACTGAGCAGGAGGGGGGAGGGAGGGGTTACAGACACACAGGCACAGTGAGCACACAAACAGGTGGGAGGGAGACCTGTGTGAGAGAGAGAGAACTAGGCACTACATAGACAGAGACTACACACTGGAAAGGTGAGGAAAATGAGTGACAGAAAATGTAGTAAAGTTTGGACACATTTTAATGTGATAGACAGTTCACAGGCAGAGTGTAGACTGTGCAAAGTTAAACATTTCATATCGAGCAGATTTTTGTCTAATTGAGATGGGTCTTTGTTTTCGTATTTTATAATTTATTTTTGTAGCACTCTGTTCCATGTTGAGTATATTAAGTATATATTTGCTCATGGTGGTACTGTTGGGTCTCTGAGTTCGGTCTAGACCTGCTCTATTTGAAAAGTGTCATGAGATAACTTCTGTTATGAATTGGCACTATACAAATAAAATTTAATTGAATTGGTAAATGGACCTGTACTTGTATAGCGCCTTTCTAGTCTTCTGACCACTCAAAGCGCTTTTACACTACGTGCCACATTCACCCTTTCACACACATTCACTCAGAGATGGCAAAGTCCATCGAACAGAAACTAAAATTCATACACACTCACACACCAATGCATGGCATCAGGAGCAATTTGGGGTTCAGTATCTTGCTCATGGATACTTTGACATGTGGCACCAGGAGCCGGGGATTGAACCCACAACCTTCCGATTAAGGAATGACCCACTCTGCCTCTGAGCCAGAGCCACCTGTTTTTTTGAATTAATAAATCCATATAAATAATAAATATTTGATATAATGCAAGTATTTGCATTAGATATTCATTTTACACATAATTTGGTAATAAATTAATTTAAGCAACAAAAAATCTGAGGAGCCACTTGGGAGCCGAAAGAGCCGGCTCTTTTTAGTGAGCCGAGCCAAAGGAACCGGTTCTCTAAAAAGAGCCGGAATTCCCATCACTACAGACTAGTTCACTACAGATTCCAAGAACCTATTTGGTGGAAAAACACTATCAATGCTGGCTGGTGTATCCAGTGCCTTCTTTGCAACCACAGCCAGGAGAAAAGGTTGTTATCTGTGTAGTTGAGCTAGCCATATCTTACTCTTGAACCACCTGGTGTATCCACTGGGAAGGGTAGAACATTGCCTTGTTATACATTCCCCACTGTCACCCCAATCCGTATTCACCATAAAGCACACGCAGTCCTCTGTCCTGTCAGATCGGTAAAAGAGTCATCTGGTTGGATTACGCTGTCCGGTATTCCAGGATTTCTGTAAAACAAAAGACGTTGCAGTTCCTGATATCCCGTAACTAATGCAGACATGGGGGTCGTCCACTTTATTATCCAACGCCTCTACAAAATAGGAAGTAGGCTGCTACTTATACTGGGGCGGATTACTAATAGGGAGTAGCTGTGCAGGCAGGTGATGAGGTCAGGTGGGGAAACTCAGCAGTTGATGAGATGATATGATATCCAGGTACACATGTACAGCCTGACCTTCTTTAAAAGGACCGGTGTGCCAGATTTATTTCATGTTCATCATCATCAGTCACTACTATTAGTGTAGTTGTTGCTACTGTTGTTGCTGTGCAACTGTCTGTCTGTCTGTCTCTCTCTCTCTCTCTCTCTCTCTCTCTCTCTCTCTCTCTGTCACCCCAACTGGTCGAGGCAGACGACCATCTACCTAGAGCTGAAGGATCTGTCCTAGGTTTCTGCCTTTTAACAGGAAGTTTTTCCTCTGTTTGCAGAGATTCCAAGGACCAGATAGAGAATAAGCTGGAAAATGTCCAAACTGTAACGAGTTGCCTTTCAAATGACAGGAGGTTAATTAAAAAGATATTTTATTGTAGACGTTGAGTGAAGAGATAGCATTAAACTATCGTTGCGGAAGCCAGAAAAGCTGGTAATGTAACTGAGGTTAAAGGAAGAGGAAGAGGCAAAAGTGGGGGAGCTGTCAGGGCTGGATGAGGGACAGCAGCCAATAGTGATGGGAATTCCAGCTCTTTTTAGTGATCCGGAATCAGCAATGACAGCTGCTCCTTTGGCTCTCAAGTGGCTCTTCATTTCTGGCTTTTATAATTCAGCCACATTTTGTAATATTTTGACCTATGATTGGTATGTGGACAAATATATAATTTAAATAAGTCAACATAATCATACTAAACCTAAAAGTTTACATTGTGTGGTATAAAAACCTTAAATAATGTAAAAGCATCAATCATGATTACACATGTAGCCTACATTTTATTTATATATTATATTATAACTCTTTTGTATGTTGGTGACTGTGCAACAGGCTGTTACTAGCACTTAAGTGAGACGTTTCTGGATTGTATTTAATACGCAGGGCAGCTGCTGGCCTATCTTAATGTTTATTTGACTAAAAACTATGCATTTTCACATAAGTTTAGACTATTATCATTACAGTATTTATTTAAAAACCCACACAGATTGTAGTTTTCTACATAACACTCAGACATTAGCAAGAAATATGTATTAGAATGTATTTATACACTGATCAGCCGTAACACTGTAAGCACTGACAGGTGAAGTGAATAACACTGATTATCTGGTTATCATGGCTCCAACAGACGAGCTACTGTAGCTCAAACTGCTGAAACAGTTAATGCTGGTTCTGATAGAAAGGGGTCAGAACACACAGTGCAGAGCAGTCTGTTGGTATGGTGTGAAGGTATTAGTCCTTCCTCTTGTCCTGTCATATTTGTTGCAAATTAATATAACAGACTAAATACAGCTTTTCTTTTAGCTTGTTCCTAAGTCATTATTAGTTTAACAAGTGCATTGTGGTTGTAACAACAACTACAAACAAAGCAGGTGGAGATATTCTTTTTCTGCTTTGTACCTGAGTTGTCATCAACATCACAGCCTGTCTGCTGTGTGTGTGTGTGTGTGTGTGTGTGTGTGTGTGTGTGTGTGTGTGTGTGTGTGTGTGTGTGTGTGTGTGTGGTGTGTGTGTGTGTGTGTGTTTGTGTGTGTCCTGCTCTCTGTGCTGCGGAGGAGAGAAACAGAGAAGCGGACCCATAAATGACAGCAAAACATGGTAAATGCACTGCGCTCTGTATATAAAACATTATAATTATGATGATTAATTATCATTTGTTTTGCCTGACGCACAACATGTTGTGTATTCATTTATAAAAAAAGAGAGAAGAGAGAGAAGAGGAGGAGAGAATGGAAGTCCTCCAAAGAGGCTGATGAGCAGTAACTGAGGTTTGTATTTATAAAATAGTAACGTTATTATGTTCCTCTCTGGTCTACATAATAGGACCAACACTGTACAGCAATGTTACTGTAATGTCTATCTGGGCCATATCAGATCATGCTACTTATAAAGCCTATCCTTTGTTTTTCCTGTGTTTTCTTTCTTCAGCGGCTTCTAGAAGAGATGAGCCTGGAGGACCACAGGGAGTTCATCACCCATCAGGATGCTTCAGCGCAGGCATGGTGCCCCACCTTTTGCTGGAGTGCCAGGAGTCCTTGTAGGGGCATGTCTACAGACCGGGAGAGGAAATGCGGTGGCCAGGAACCTGCTGACTGTGTGAGCCTACTACTACCCAGGTTTCATACGGATTCACAGGCAGCAACGGGACCACATTACGGTATAAGGCCACATTAGGGAGCCTGGGGAACAGGGAGCACTGTTCTGGTGCCTATAGAAACTTTATTGGCACTTTAGGTTATCATGGCTCTTTAGGACAGGGAAATTAACTTGTCATCCTCAGCTGGTGGGACAAGTTCCATGATCCCCAAAGACACTACACCGATTTCCTTCCAGGCCCTCTGGCATGGGCATCATCAAACACATTTTTTCTTATACTTTATTTAAATAACAATGACCCTTTTCTTAGTTTATATTCATGATTTACTATGTATATGTATACCTAACCAACAGAAATAATACCACAAAAACAAGACTACTGGTCCCATCAGAAAATTAAGAAACCCTGGGTGGTCATGATGTGCATATGCTACAGGTGGTATTTTATGTTCTAACATAAGTGAGAGATCTAACAAATCCCCACAGGGTGGCAATACTCACAATGAGACCAACACAGTTAAAAAGCAGTAAGTGGTGCCCCTTAAGCAGTTGAGAGACATTCTGCTTTCTCCTGGCAGGTGAAGCAAAGATGGAGTACGCATTTATTTTCAGAAACCTTTTCAGGCAAACTGCAGAGACCGTAAATCAATCAGCAATGGAGCAAAGTGATTTTTGAGAAGAACCGCCAGTCCATATTAAAATCCTGCTGTTGCATTAAAAACTTGTCAATAAGAAGGCTGCCCTAAAACCCCCACCTAGCAGTCAATATTGAAAATTGATCCAGACACTGAACCGTCGTATAAATCAACACATAACCTAGCTTATTGATTGACACCGTTAAACAAACAGGCAACATTTACAGTTGCAAACAGGATTTTATTACCCACTAATATCAGTGAAAACACAATCATTTATCTTCCTTTCTTTACACAATATTAAAACAAAGGCAAATGAGCAATTCAGAAACACCAGAACATCAAAACTGTGACGCTGCAGCCACAGCTAGAAAGAACTGCAGACAGTCACGTCTGACGATACAGATTGTTCTGATTCCCCTGTAGAGCCACACTGGCCAACTCAAATGTGTGTTGTTTATGCAGCAAAAGGTTAATATCTCGATGAGGGCGCTCTGATTGAACTGCAAGGATCTGCCCTTGAATCACCCACCTGCTGAGTCCAGAGGCACATGGTGCAAGACTCTTCTTGTGCTATTTTCTCAAATTTGTAGGCAGCCGTACAACAAAAAACAAATAACCCCCTTCATCACTATCAAATCTATGCAATGGAGACTTAAATAACACAGGAGCACAGGTGCATCTTGGTTAGATAATAGGTACCGCACTCCAGAAAACCATCAACAATTTGCATATAACCATCACCTTTTTACCAAGGAGAAAGGTAGAGACACTGCATAAAAGAATACGTGTGGGGTTTACAGTACACCAAGACCAGAATCAGGTTTATTGCCAAGCAGGTTTTCACATGCAAGCAGTGTGCCTTGGTGTATTGGTGCAGAACAGTAAACATTGTACAAGAACAATATAAATAAAGACAATAAAAAGAGACAGTATTAGGGAAAGTCCAAACTATGAAGTATAAAGGATATTTGCAATGTGCTAGATACAAGAGATGTGTGTATGTAATGCATAGATTCAAGGGAGCACTTAACTACATCACTATGAAACTGTGCATCATATCTAAATATTGACTACATGCCAAAATGCCAAAATAAAAGGTACTATGTGGTACCCACCATTCCGCTACATTTAAAATAAAATATGTTACATTAAAGTGTTTCATGCGCCCATGATGAATAAAAAACATACTTCATATCAAGCATTTCTACTGCACCAATGTGAAGAAATACAAAAACAAAAGTTCCATATTTGTACCTCCAAGTGGCATCGTTTCATATATTTGAGGTACAGTAAAAGCAGGTACAAATATGGAATTTTATTGTTGAAATTCTCCAAATTGTTGCAGTAAAAATGCTTGATATTAGGTATACTTGTATTCTTATATGTGTAGAAGTCAAATATACCTTCCATAGCCAGGAAATATTGAGCAATATGTTTTTACTGTACCTCAAATACATGAAAAGATGCCACTTGGAGGTACAAATATGGAACTTTTGTTTTGGCATTTCTTCACATTGGTACAGTAGAAATGCTTGATATTAAGTATGTTTTTTATTCATCATGGGCGCATGAAACACTTTAATGTAACATATTTTATTTTAAATGTAGGTTCTTTTATTATATATATATAATTATAGCTTACTGTTCTTAATACCTTTATTTTGAAAACCGGAAGTGAATACGCTGTAAATTTAAGTGTGGCTGATTTGACCATGGAGATCGGAGTAACAGCTGGCTTGACCGCAGTTATCATATCACAGTCATTATCTCGAGATTTCGAATTAATTATATCGTTATCTCCGGAAAACAAAGTTTTGTTATCTCGAGATCTCGAGAAAATTAAAACGGAGGAAATAAAATGCATGAATGCATGGCCCTTTAGGGCTTCCATACAATGCTAAGTTGGTGCAGTACTCTTTTAAACCTGACAACCTACTAGGTTATTAGTTCATATGCAAATGTTTGTCTGCTAAGAATGCCATGGTGATTATCTCAGATGGACACACCTGTACTGTACTGATGAAGACAAGATAGACAAAAATATTTGGTCTTATATGGATTAATTCAGACTGAATTCAGAATCTTTGTTGGTAAATATAAATAGGGCTAACAGACAGATACTACCACACATGGTGGAAATTCTTCACCTGTGCATACCACAGTGACCAGCCATGACTGTTCAAATTCCAGTTCAATCCATGGAGCAAATCATCAAGAATGCAGAAGCGTGGATTACTATATTCTGAAGATTCACTGCACACAGCAGCTTGTGACCTTTTAAAATTCTCTCTTCCACTCTGTGTTATGAGCCCCCTCCAGACCACCACCGAATAACCTTATCCACAAAACAAAGTGTTTCTAGGGGAAAAACAAATGCATTCACTGTCTCCTTGTGCTTGTAATTTTGTCTTGATTTAGCTCAATGTCAGCGTTCCTCTGGGTTGATTAGAGGATCATTGAGCTTTAACAGTGATTGAGAGCAGCTTGGTGATTCCCTTCTCAGCCCATCAGGGTGTCCAGAACTCACTTAAGCAGATGTAAGCCAGCTAGAAACTCTTGTCTTTCTTTTCTTCAATTCTTCAGTTTAGATTTTTTTGCTGTTGCTCTTTTTGGATTCAGTTTGAAAGTGATTAAGTATTCTGGAAATGATTCTTGAATGGATATAGAACGCCTTAGTACTTGAACCATGCCTGACTTTAGTGTCATTTGGGCAAGAGTTTCCTTTCCCTACCTGCTGCCTGCAGGCTTACTTTTTTTTATTGGTTTACTTTGTATGAAACCCCTTACCCATTTTTTACACTTTAAGAAGGCACAATTTTCATTGTTAAAGTACTTGTTAGTTTTGCTCTCCAAGTGGATATTCTTTTATTATGTGGTTGGGAACTGGTTGTCAGGCTCCATTCCCCTGAGCTGAAACCTGTGAAATCAATACTGCCGCACACAAACCTCTTAATGACACTTCCTTTTTTTTAAAAAATGACTTTATTTCGATTTTCCAGTATCATCCACTTTCCAGCATCAACAAAGACCCACAATCCTAAAACAATATTGGGTCAAAGTGGGTCAACTAAAATGAACTATGAGAAATAAATAACCAATACAACTTAAACAATACAATCAAGGTCTTTAGATTCTGACTTTAATATTGAGTCCCCAGTGTCATCATTGTCCAACTATACTCATAAAAAGAAAAAAGGCCTCAAAGTAGGTTTGCATTTAAATTAATGACTCTTTTCAATGAAACTACTCACTACCTGATCAATAGGGTTCTAACCATTTATGTATCTGTGCTGAACTGTCATGAAGTTGTTGTTGTTGTTGTTGTTGTTGTTGTTGTTAAAAATGAGTGGGATGTAAGAGCTGTGAGGGAGAAACAAATTCACAAACATTTAGTTGATTTTGTGCTTCTTCCAGCTTTGGTCAGTCAACAAAAATGAATGTTATTTATTTTTATTTCTTCCTAGCAGCTGGTGAAATTACTTAAAGTGGCACACAGGAAGGCCTCTCCAAGAGGACACTACTACAAGGCTTATCACGACTTTCACAGAGCATTGCAGGCCAGGCTGAAGGGCAATGTTCACACCTGAGTGCAGTAAAAAAAGAGAAAATAATTACAACCCTGCTGCTCAAAGAACGAAAGTTCAAAGGAACAAAATGCTGCTCTCCTTCCAATTAATAACGCAAATAATCCCCTTATCAAATTAAGCAGTAGAAAAAGGAAAATGCTTTTAGAGAGTTTGCTGCAAATGTTTGATTTGTCATAACCTGGCAGGTAGCTCCCTGTGGCCGATGAGACATCATTAGCCAAATATTATATTTCCCTAACACATCACCTCAAAGTTGACCCTCTGTATTTTTGCTAATAAGCCCTTTTAAACACTTATAATTAAAGTTATTTTGCGAGTATCGAGGGATAAAGGGCACAGCACTTGCTTATTTTGCATGAAATTAAACCGCTCTAAGGAAATGGGCTTGTGCATCAAACCTCATAGAACTAAAGGAAAAATAACATAAAATAAAATAAAATAAAATAAAATAACATAAACCAATGTACAGTTGTTTATATACATATATAAATACACGTATACACCCAGGATGTAATTCTGCAGTGCCACCTGGGTTACGATTTGTGTGAAAATAATTAGAAATGTTTTGTATTTATATTATCTCTGCCAGGTGTATTCCCTTTTGTTGTTGCTGTGCACCTTTGTCTCTTTCCCTCTCTCTCTAACCCCAACTGGCCGAGGCAGACCACCTAGAGCCGGGGTCTGTCTGAGGTTTCAGTCTCTTAAAAGGGAGTATTTTCTTGCCACTGTCGCCAAGTGCTTGCTCATGGTGGGAACTGTTGGGTCTCTGTAAAGAAAAGTACAGTCTAGACCTGCTCTATTTAAAAAGTAAACTTTTGTTATGAATTGGCACTGTACAAATAAAACTGAACTGAATTGTTGAATGCACTTATTGTAAGTTGCTTTGGATAAAAGCATCAGCTAATGCAACATATTTAACACCTCATTGTTTAAGACATGCCTTGCACCAGCCTGCTTCAAGACTTCCACAGGACTTACAGACCCATCGCACTGACATCTGTGGTTATTTGAACGCCTACATTGTTTACACAGCCTTTTATTACATGGCTGAGTAGTAGTACTGAGTATTACTATAGAAACGTGTGTAAAAGCACAGTGGGCTAATGTGGTGTTGTGTCCTTTAGTTCATCCAGAGGTGGGAATGGTAAGAGGCAAGAAGGATCCTGAGTGCTTCGATCCACATTTAAACCCATTTCTCTTGTCATTTTCACTACTTCGTATCATTTCTGTCTATTGTCTTTCACCTTTTGTAAATCGAGAAAAACTATCAAATCTGCCTGGAGGGTAATCACAGGGTCTTTACCACCTCTTGGTATACTGATAGTTGATGCCACACACCAATTCAAACAAATTCTGAACCATGAAATTGGATGATCACGGACAGGTTAAGTTCTCACTCATAACATTTATGAGTCTATGAGCCTGCCTGTTCCTTAATTTATTCTGTGCTCCAGCTGTCATGTAAACACCAGAGATACTTTTCATACCTGGCAACTAAATGTGTAGGGGACACAGCATCGAGGCACCAACTAGAAACCAGAGGGGATGAGAAACAAAGGTCTCTCAAGAGCGAGAAGGAACGAGCAGAGAAACCTGTCAGTCTGCTCATTATTCAGCTAACCAGTGCTGACAGCCAGGTGGAAGCACTCAACTGACGAATGATTGCAAACCTCGTAATTACATCGACGTACAAACAGAAGCGGACAACAGTTAGATAAACAAGAAAACACGACAGAGGTTCAAAAACAAGTTGAACCTTTTCTTCTATTCTTTATTTCAGTGTCACTAGTTCTATCTCTACTTCTTCTTTTCTCCTATTTTTCTTCAGTTTGGACAGTTCCAGTGTTCACCTTTCCCTTGCAATGCTATTCAACCACTAGTAATCAACTTGCTACCAAATTGAAGTTCAAAGTAATTTTGCTATTCAGCAAAGCAACACCAGCTCTGTCTGAGTGGGATAATTTGGTATTCCGGCCACACTAAAACGAGACTAAGAGTGGCAGAAGAGAAGGAGAGCTTGATGGTTATGAGGGAAAACGAGTGGTCCAAAAAAAAAATATGTTTGAAAAAATAGTATGTGAAAGGACAAAAACTGTGATGAAAATTGAGGGTTTGGAGCAGGCAGGAATGGGAAGGACAGAAAAATTTAGAGGTTGAGGAAAGAGTAGCAGAGAAATGGAAATTAATGACACGCAATTTTTTTTTTTGGGCAGCGGGGGGGCAGAGTGAAGGATGATTGAGCTATTGAGAGACTGTCCTGCAGAAGCTGTTTATATGAGCTCCAACAATGATGCTCAAGTATGAGAGAGTCTGTCAAGACAAATGTGTGTCATCTGAACTCTGAGCCATTCGTGGAAAACTGTAATATGTCAGAATGTACAGATGCATTTGGTTGACTTCTTTAGTCTTCTGGTTGTTGTTGTTTTTTTTATATATATATATATATATATTTGATTGTATTTTGTGAATTTTCAGCACATTTCACATTTCTGTATTTGGTTGTTTTTTTTTTTTCTATTTG